TGAACACAACGGAGATCTAGTCCTATTGGCAGACATCCATTTAAAATGTAGGCAACGGCATGAAAAAAGTGGTTTCTACTTTTACTTTTATACTTTAAGTAAATTTATAAGCCTGTACTTTGTTACGTTTACTTGAGTAAATAAGTTTAATCAGTACTTCCACTTTTACCAGAGTATTTTTTAACACAAGTATCTGTACTTTTACTCAAGTACGGAAAGTGAGTACTTTTGCCATCTCTGGTCTCCCAGTTAGATATTTTCGGCTTCTTAGTCTGATAACATAAAATGTAGCATTTGTAGCAATAATGAGAGAAAATGTGGACAAAAACCGTCTGTTCCTGCTGTTCAGTCCGGCTAGACGCAGGCATTCTTATTTTCCTTAAGTTTATCATTCTTATATCATTATTTGAATACAATTAAAGAAATCTCACTTTAAGTTTTAAAATGAACCACTTTATTTGATGTGTCCCCTTCAGGCCATGTTGAGTTTAACTGTGATGCTTTCCATGGACAGCTGGGTGAGACTCATGTATGACGGTGTGGATGCAGTCGGCATTGACCAACAGGTATTTGGATTCTCTCCTATACGCAGCTCAGCCTGACTGAACTGTAACATGTTAGAAGCACAACTCCTTCAGGATTACCAGAAACTACCTCAGTTCAATAAACTGACTACTGCACAGTCATGATGTTTACCAGACAACATTCATATGGTCAAGTTTCCTTATATCCTGTACACTGACAGTAAAGTTTTTTGTAGAGGATGTTTATTAGAGCAGCAGCAAGCTTGCAGTTACAAAGAGACCCAAGCTGCGTGAAGCTGACACCCCACCCACGTCAAAAAACTCTGCAAATAGACTGAATGATTAGTGCAACGTTAGTGCAGATTTGTGCAGAAAAAAATATTGTTTGTGCTACTTTTGTTTAAGAGATATTAACCCTATACTGCACGGTGTTGCCATATGGCAACATACCCATTTTGGAGGGATTTCTGGAAATTTGAAAATAAACTTGGACTCTGATTCGTCTGAAATCCATGGTAGAACTGTTCTGCAGCCAATGACAGGCTATGACAACATTACAGGACATCCCTCTAGCTTTCACAGCCATTCTTTCCCGCGCTGGTGATGGCTTCAGTCACTGTCAGAAATGCTCCTGATTTTATGAAGATTATTTCCTGAATGGGACATCTTTTCAAAATACAAAAATAACTGCAACAAACTGGGGTAAGTTCTAGCATTTTTTATGTAATATGTATAGATAATTTAGACATCCCATTTTAAAATAAAAAGTAAAAACAGGAAATAACTTCTAGGTAATTCAAAATAAATGTAAATTTAAATCTATTGTAAATAATTTGGGGTTTGCATATCAAAGTAGATGAAGACATACAGAACCTAACAAATGCAATTAAACGCTATGATGTATTAAATGGACTCACTTGTCTCTTCCCGGCCTGAGTTTAACCTGACAGACGGCGATGACGGGTCTGTGGTCTGAAGTCTTTATGCTGGAACAGCTGTCGTACTTCAGCACTCTTATGTCATTAGCCTGCCTGCTCCTGAACAGAACACTGTCCTGAGAACAAAAAGCCTTTAACCACACATAGATTGTGAGCAATTAGAACATGCTGCTAAATGCCTCCTTACTGTGTATGAAGGCGTTCTCTGCTTAGAGGTGGTGTCATAGTTATCACAGCCAATGTCAAATTTGTAGGTTGGAAAGAAGTGGACCCTGTAAGGAGGGAGTTATTCATTCAGAGATCATCAACCAAACAGCTGTGGTTCTCCGAGGCTTTCATCCTACATACCGTCCTTCATTTGCTTAGTGAGCTGGTCATGCTCCAGCATATGTATATAATATGACTTATTATTTACTTTTTTATTCAGTAAAATAGGTTTGTTGCCATACGGCAACATTGTGCGGTAATGGAACAACATTTGCTAATACTTGTGCAGTGCGGTCTGTTGGGAGAGTTTTGAAACATACATGTATGAATGTACCTTGCTCATGTATTTTTGCATTTTCATGCATTATTTTGTTTAGAAAATGAACCCAGGATTTTTTTATGGGAATGAGAAGAGGCACAAAGGGCCCACTGCCCCACTTCCACTGAGTGCTGTGCGTCTTGATCGCCTTGATCACTGGCCAGAAATGAGCACCGTGAAAGGCAGGTGTAAAAATCCAGGTTGCAAGGGCATTGTCAGAGTAGTCTGCTCAAAATGCAAAGTGCATCTATGCTTCAATGGGGAGAAAAACTGCTTCAAAACTTTTCATATTGAGTAGTGGTCTAAAAAGAAAGAAAATGTTCAATGTGCTCTTGTTTAGGTCTCTGTACCTTTTTGGCAGTATTATCAGTACATACTGCACATTCATTTGTTTCCTGTTATAATTACATGGTGAAGTTTGGGAGTTTTGGTTTTACCATGTACATTTCACACTGCCCAAAAGTTATGTATGGCAGCAATGAAGTACATACTGCACATTCATTTGTTTCCTCATATCATGACATGGTGAGGTTTGAGAGTTTTGTTTTTTACCATGTACATTTTGCATTGCCCCAAAAGTTATATATGGCAGAAATGAATTCAGTTTCTGTTTTGTGAATGTATGAATGAAATCAGTGATTATATGAAATAATAAAACAGTTGATTTATAAAGAACATGACTCTAATCATTCATTAATCTTGGGAACATTTGGGAATGTTTCACAATGGCTCGTTCCTTTATCGCACAATGTTGCCGTATGGCAACAAACCCAAAATAACCCCCCCCAAAATTTTTTTTTTCAAAAAAAGATAAAAATGCTCTTTTGAGACCATTCTTAGTTAAAAAAAAACACTGTAACATTTTTTTCCATGATTGCATCATAATGCGTGCAGTATAGGGTTAAAGATTATTTTTTAGGTCATCCAGAGGTCACCATCCCCCCATTAAACTCCAATTTGAAACAAAGTGGTCTCCTTTTTTAGTGCTTCGTTTGTGCAGTTAAAACGGTCATTTGTGCTATTTTAGTTTTTAAGATATAATCATTTTAATTTTTGGCTGATGACATCACCATCCCCCCATCAAGCTCCGATTTGATCCAAAGTGGTCTCATTTTTTAGAGCTTCGTTTGTGCTGATTTGTGCCGTTAAAGCCAACATTTGTGCTGCTTTACTTTTTAAGATATAATCATTTTAATTTTTTGGCACCAGCGCACAGCTGGTTTTGAGCGCGGAGAGAGCAGGTCGAGCGCGAGCAGAGACAGATTCGAGCACGCGCAGAGATGAAACTGAGGGCCGGATTTATCAAGATCCAATTTTGCGTGCAGTAATTTGCGCTCGCAAACTGGAATTTTGCGCGAGGGGCTGAACCATGGTTTGCGGGTGATTTAACAAGAGTGATTGCGTAACTGGTGGCAGGTGCAAAACTGTTGGAGACGCCCTATTTAAATGATGGTTTTGCGCGTTTTGTTTTGCGGCAAAGTAGTTTGTACAAACTAGTGCATTAAGAAATTTAAATCTTACAGTGATCCCAAAAAAAGAAAAAAAAAATTATATATATATATATATAAAGAAAAACTTTGGCAACCTTTATTCCCTAAGGTGATATGTGGCTGAATTTCTACTTCACTGCAGTAAAAAAAAAAAAAACAAAAAAAACAACAGGTGTTTTGTATTGGCCTGTAGAAAACTGCACATACCAAATGGCTCACAAGAAGTGACTGTGGATGAGATTAATGCGCGTTACGCATCCCCGCAGCATTGGCATGTTGCTCCACAGGCGCAGGGGGGAGGTCTGGTTTCTCCGTTAGGGCATCAGGGCGACATGGCATTTAGAACGTCGGACAGCACTTCTGAAAAACGAGATTGGGAGATCCAATGTTGCAAGGAGTTTTGTGATATCTGGTATTGCGTGGGTCCTCCTTGTGGCTGGCTCCAAATCCATTCGGAGTTCCCCCAACAGCTCCAAAATGGCAATGCTGGATAAACGATATGTTTTGATGATCGTTTCCTCGTTCATTCCAAAAATATTCATACGGAGTGAAAAAATGCGTTGTCTGCGTCTCCTTGCTTCATTTCAATGTCTCCTTCTTGCGACAATAACCGCTGCCATGTGTGCGCAATTACGCATACAGACCATTTGCACCTTCTTTTGAAACGTGTTAAATATAGAGTCAGATACCGTTAGCAAAATTGCTTTCAGGTTTAATAAATCACTTTGCGAGTGCTAAATTAATATATTTACATGTTCTCCTCCCACAAAACACACTTTTGCGTGTAAATGCCCCATATTGCATATTCATTGCAGAAAAAGTACAAAATGGATAAGAGGCGCTATTTAGCACGTTTTAAAGACCAAATCCTTTTAGCACGCTGTTGATAGATCACTTTGTACATTTTTTAGCGTGCGCAGTGAAATAGCTCACGTTTTTATACACGCAAACCTTTGATAGATCCGGCCCAGAGCGCGAGAACATGGTGGGGGATGGTGACGTCATCAGCCAAAAATTAAAATTTTTATATCTTAAAAACTAAAATAGCACAAATGACCGTTTTAACTGCACAAATCAGTACAAACGAAGCACTAAAAAAGGAGACCACTTTGGTTCAAGTTGGAGTTTAATGGGGGGATGGTGACCTCTGGATGACCTAAAAATAATCTTTAATATCTCTTAAACAAAAGTACCACAAACAATATTTTTTTCTGCACAAATCTGCACTAACGTTGCACTAACCATTCAGTCTATTTGCAGAGTTTTTTGACGTGGGTGGGGTGTCAGCTTCACGCAGCTAGAGACCCAAATAAAAAAAAGAAAATGTTGATTTCCCTGTCCCCAGCCTGTGACAAATTACAATAATTGGAGGATTATTTTCTTCGTCACCTTCATACTGCTGAGCTTAATTCTGCTGAACATGTTCACCGGAGTGATGGTGGAGAGCTACAGCAGATGTCAGTCCCCTTCAGGCCATGTTGACTTTAACTGTGATGCTTTCCATGGACAGCTGGGTGAGACTCATGTATGACGGTGTGGATGCAGTCGGCATTGACCAACAGGTATTTGGATTCTCTCCTATACGCAGCTCAGCCTGACTGAACTGTAACATGTTAGAAGCACAACTCCTTCAGGATTACCAGAAACTACCTCAGTTCAATAAACTGACTACTGCACAGTCATGATGTTTACCAGACAACATTCATACGGCCAAGTTTCCTTATATCCTGTACACTGACAGTAAAGTTTTTTGTAGAGGATGTTTATTAGAGCAGTAGCAAGCTTGCAGTTACAAAGAGACCCAAATAAAAAAAAGAAAATGTTGATTTCCCTGTCCCCAGCCTGTGACAAATTACAATAATTGGAGGATTATTTTCTTCGTCACCTTCATACTGCTGAGCTTAATTCTGCAGAACATGTTCACCGGAGTGATGGTGGAGAGCTACAGCAGATGTCAGCGCGGGCGTCATCAGTTGGACGACCATGGAAATGTGTAAGACAATTAACTCACTTGTTTACCTGTAATGAGAGACTTAGACAGACTTTATTTTGTTATTTTGTACACACAAGTGTAAACAAAAAGGTATTTTGTTAAGTACAGCTCTCCAGATTATTTCATATTTTTAAAGTGCAGCCTTGATAAGTTAAGTAGCAGTGATAAAAACATTGTGATGAAATACAGTAATATAAACATATGACTGTATAGTTACAGTTCTAACATTCTGTTTTTTTTTTATAACCCATTTTACATAACATAAAAACATTAAATAAAAACAATGTTTTTTCTTTAGAATCTCCAAAACCTTCATCACAGATTTTTTTTTATGCACGTAGCATTGTACTTTTTTTGTGTGCAAATTAACACTACCTAAACAAAAATAATACTGTTTGAACCTTGCTTTGATTACAGATATGTCTTTGTTTGTAATTTAATTTAATTTTATCTTACAGCTGTTCTGTGAAACCCTCAAAGGTTTGTTAGAGACAATTAGTGAACACTCAGCATTGTCAAGTTTATTTCAAAACATTTTAGACATTCCAGTGGGATATTAAATTAGCCCTCCTGTTGTCCTTGGGGTCAATTTGACCCCATTCAATGTCTATCGTTCAAAAATTAGTAGTTTACTTTTTTTTTTTTTGCTTCATATTTCATGACTTTTCCTAATTTGATGGGGACAACTGGTAAAGCATAACATTTTTGTGATGTTATTTTTTGAATGTGCTGAACACATATTACACGCATTGGTTGTCCTCTGGGGTCAATTTGACCCCAAGCTGTTTTAGCTGCTAAAACTTGTCAGTGACCTAACATGACCACACCTGCAGGTGCAGAGTTGATACATTTTAGTTGATACATTTGAACTGAGACATCTGGGGATCTGTGTGACCTTCTGAACTCACACCTGCCAAAGTAGAACTGATTTTCCCGCCTTGTGAAGGGCGGGTTATTACTACAACGCCATTGGTAGTTCATGCCAAATCAGGGAGGAGCAAACATAAGCTTGCACTACAGTCCTCTATCCAAATCATTCCTCACTGTGCTCTGAGTATACTGCAATCTGCACACTCTTTGAAAATGTCTTCTGGAAAAAGGTTTACTGTCAAAGAGGTTTTGGAGCAGCTCTTTGACAGTGAAAGTGACTTAGAGGAGACTGTCTCTGAGACTGAGGATTGTGTTGAGGAGGACCCTGATTTTGAGGAATTCTCATCTGATGAGAATGAGAGTGTTGACCCTCCTGTTGTCCCTTAACCACCAGCAGACACAATTTCTTCCAAAAATGGAAAAATAATATGGTCCCTTTCCCCACTGAAACAGCAGGGTAGACATAGCGCAAGTAATATAATCAAAATGGTTCCAGGACCCACCAGATATGCAGTCAGCCATGTTGATGACATCAAGTCATCATTCAAGCTCTTCATAACGCCATCAATGAAAAATATTGTGCTTGGGATGACAAATTTAGAGGGAAAGCGTGTTTATAGGGACAGTTGGAAAGACTTGGATGTAGTTGACTTGGAAGTCTACATTGGCTTGCTAATTTTGGCAGGAGTTTATAAGTCAAAAGGTGAAGCAACAGCAAGTCTTTGGAATGCTGAGACTGGAAGGGCAATATTTCCAGCCACCATGTCTCTGAAGGCATTCCACATTTTGTCTCGTGTCATACGCTTTGATGACAAACAAACAAGGCAGGGCCGTCGAGAACGTGACAAACTTGCTGCAGTAAGGGATGTGTAGGACAAGTGGGTGCAGGGTTTACCCCTGCTTTATAATCCAGGCGCTCACGTGACTGTCGATGAGTGCCTGGTTGCGTTTCGTGGGCGCTGCCCATTCAGACAGTATATGCCTAGCAAACCTGCTAAATATGGCATCAAAATATGGGCAGCATGTGATGCACAGTCCAGCTTTGCCTACATGCAGGTGTACACCTTGTCAGGATCCGAGACATTGCCCACCAGAGGGCGCAATGGATCCAAGCCTGGGGAGTTTGGACTCAGCTTGATCAGCTGTTTCCAGTCCGCTGATTAGGAAGCTTTCTATTTAAGCTGTGTTTGTCTGTCTCTCTGTGCTGGATCGTTTGTTTTCTCTGTGCCACCATGCCTGTCTGAGCCTCTGTGATTCCTCCGTGTTCCAATAAATATTGGACTTTTATTCCTCCCTCCGTGTCTGAGTCTGCATATGGGCTAGTAAACCATCGCATCATGACACACCTGGTGCACCAGGTGTCCTAAAGGTGGTCTTTTTCTCTCAACATAAATGACATATCGTCATCTAATAATAACTATGGGAACACAGAGTAATTTAAGCAATATATGCATAAACAATAACTGAAGAAAACACATTCTAGAGAGTGTTACAAAAGTTCTGTGGGGAAATTAACTGTGAAAACACCACATTCAATCCTACTTAGAAAGGTTAAAATCAGACTCAGTATATCACATAAAGCATGAGATAATTAAAACATAATTACTTTGCATTCTAAAAAGGATTGTTCTTTAGTTTGGTGTATTGCTTGCTGCTGAAGTAAGAAAGTGAGCATCATGGTTACATGCAAAAAGCTGTCTAGTGCCACTGAAAAAAGGGACTTTTTCATCCTGTAAATATTCCTTTGGATTTTATGAAACGTTTACAGCAAATTGCCATGAAAATGCATTTACTTTAAAATGACACGTTTTATTTAACGTGTTTCTTAGAATGAATTTGTAAATTGATATAAAAAAAGAAAAATCAAATTAATCCATCTATCCAGTTAGTATTAACAAAACAATTTAAGTCAGTTCCCAACTTAACAGCTACAAGTAATATGTACTCGGATATTACGAGTAAACCTGTCGCTTTTTTCCTTACCTGACTTGTTTAGGTCAGAAATAGAAAATACTGTTAGGTTAATTTGCTTCTCTAGATTTTCCTTGTGTGTTTATGCTTTTATGTCTCTGTGTAAAATTGACTAGCAAACCCATGTAGGCACCCATGTAGGCACCCCTACAATTTATTTCCCTCTAATACGGATGGTGACAACAGTAATACTCTCAAGTGCAATATTCAAAACATTTTAATTGTTCATATATTAACAATTCCTTGACAACAAAAACACTGTGGTTAATTCTGCACATCAATATACTCAGTGTGCGAAATACCTGTCAATATTTGGGGGGTCCCCATCTCCCGATTGTTGCGCAATATCGATCTAAATTTTCTCAATATGCAGTAGGCCTATAACATTTCAAAGTCAGCTTCAATGTCAATTTTTTAGATTCACCAGATATACAAGGACTCGAGAGGATGTTCGTTTCTCATTCACCAACAGTGAAACCGATAAAGTGCACAGGCACAACAGATAAGATCATTTCCTAATACTAAAATTTAAACATTCAATTTCACAATAAAATATAAAATGTACAATAATATAAAATATGCAATACTTATGCTAGTGCAAAAGGGCAGATGGTAATGGCAGCAGAAAAATTATTATTATTATTACCAATTATGTAAGATATAGCATTTGTAACAGTAACAGTGCAAAAGAACAGTAAATAAATATAGTATTATAGTAGTGCAGGAGACAGTTTGTCCGGAGTGATTTTTTTTTTGAGGGGGGCTCAGCTTCCTGACAGCTTGGAGGAGGAAGCTTTCTGTGAATCTAAGTGGGCAAGAGCCTGAATAGACAGTCAGTCTATGAAAACACACACATGCACAAAGACTGTCTGTCTGTCTCTCTCTTTCATGCACGCACATGTCCTGCTTTAATCCAGTTTCTGACGAATGGAACTGGGTCAAATTTGTCCAGAGGAGGTCCGTTGTGGTCCACAAACAGGAGTGAAGACCTGCTGTCTTCACACAATCTGTTCCGTGTTGCCCGTGTTATTAACTGCGGAAAAGCACATGGCTAATTTGCATACGTGAGCAGGATTGGCTGGCTCCAGTTTGCAAAAAACAGAGCATATTTGTGAATAAAGGTTTTGAATTTTAATACTGGACATGTTGAGCTTAAAAACATTTGAGTGACCATTAGTGACAAAAAAAATATTTTTGTCCTGCCCTCACTCTTAGCTTAGCAGGTAGATAACCATCATTTCCAATAACCACACCATAAGCCTTTTCTTTGCATTTATTGACTGGTATGGATGGATGAATGAATGGTAAAACTGCAACAAAGAAATAATGTGCATAAGTCTTTGTGAAAAAAAGAAACAGTTACAAATAAACAGGCACAATTCTCCTAAATAATAAACTCAACATATTCCCTGAATATGTACAGAAACGCATAATGACACAAACAACATGTTAACATTAGCCGCTAGCTAGCGGCATTGCTAACGGCTAGTTAGCGCATATGCTAACGGATAGTTAGCGCGTATCCTAGTGGCTAGTTACCGCGTTTGCTAGTGTCTTTTTAAACTTCTCTTCTCGGTGACCTTTCTTGCAATAAACCTCCAAACACAACATGAAACATAGTACTATGGCTGCGTCTCAATTCGCAGGCTGCGTACTTGGTAGGACGCATTTTGAGGCCGGTGACGTCACAACGCTGCGCGGAGGCCGTCCCATTTGGCAAAAATTCTGAGGACACTTAAAATGCAGCCTCAAAATGCGTCCTCCTTTTCCCCGAATTCTGAGGATGCATCGCTACCGTCCTTAGTGGCCTCGCCTCCCACTAGATTTCCCGAGGTGCTTTGCGCGCTTCTTTTTTTTTTTTTTTTCAGTTGAAGAAAAAGAAGAAGAAGAATAAGAAGAGAGAAAAAAAAGGCGGAAAAAATGGAAAGCAGTAGCAGCGCCGGCAGTAGTAAGATGGAGTACACTTTTAAATGTGAGTATTATTTTTGTTTTATTTTACTGAACATGTATTAAAATACATGACGGTAACGGAGCCACCGGGATGTGTAGGACCAGCTAAAGCTAAAGCTTAAAGCTAACCTGTTGATACGAGACGCTCAACAACAATTGAAAGCCTTCATAAAAATGTCACAATTATTAACCTACATCTTGTAACTTTGCTGATAGCCCTCACTAATCGGAATTATTTATTCTCATACAGTTTATTACACAGAATTAGAACTGTCAAAGCTTAATGCAGCTGAAGAAATAACATGAGTCCAGCTGTACTGGGCTGTTAATACTGTAAACATTTTGTTTTAATACTCAATAATGTATAGTTATTTTACAGTACAGTAAAATAAGGTTTAAAGTATTATTCACTTGAAGAACAATGCCGGTGTAATTATACAGAACAGTAATTTTGCCTGTTGACTTAACAGAAATATGCTTTACATGTCATTTTGTTCCAGGGAGCAGGGAGCAGACAGAGGAGTTGATCAAACTCTGTGGGCAAAACGACCACCTTTTTACCGGCGCCAAAAATACTGCAGCAGTTGGTTGGAGGTAAGAGTTGAGGCATAATTCCATATACATGTTGCATTTCTATGTAAAAGTCACACAAGATAAAAGAAGTCCTGTTCAGACACCAACGTACAAATATAATCTTTTGATCACATGATATGATGCCCAGATGCCACTTTTTATCAATCTTATATTTGTGATAGAAGTGATCCTAGTGTGTTTATCTCTTCTCATTTCTCTTGTTTAGAACAATCCTGCAGAAAATGGGCCTGGGGGGAAAAGTTGAGCCACAACAGGCTAAAAAAAAGTGGGACAACCTAAAAAAAAAATACAAAGTATGTTCAGGTTTGGATAATGTAATGAAATACACACACACACACATATATATATATATATATATATATACACATAGATAGATAGATGTGTGTGTAAATGTGTAGGGAAATGACATCTTACATATATTATATTCAGGTTCATTTACACTTTGAATTAGCTTGAAAAAAGTCATCTCAAAGTTATTATTCCAAAGTCGTCTCTTTTTCTGTAGAATGTCATTAATCCATCCAAATCATGAAACACTCCTTTTTTCTAGCTTTAAAGAAACACTACATAAAATTGCATCTGTTGACAAAAATTGTTTTCCTCTACTATAGGAATGCAAAGATCCAGGGACAGGGCAGGGTGTCAGTGGTAAGCCTACTGCTGCCACCTGGCCCTGGTTTGTCTTCATGGATGAGGTATTAGGACAGAGGCCCTCTGTTGCCCCACCTGTCCTAATTGCCTCCATCCCTGAGGACACACAAGGGCCAGTTGCTGCAGAGGCTGAGCAGCATCAGGGCGATGACGAGGAAGAGAGTGAGGATGAGAGGCCAGGAGAGAGGAGGGAAAGGAGGAAGAGAAGAAGGAGGAGTGACGAGTTGCTTGAATTGATCAGGGAGGATATGAGATGGCAGAGGGAGGCGGAGGAGAGAAGAGAAAGAGAGAGCCGGGAAAGGATGGACAGACTGTTTAATTTATTGGAGAGGATGGTGGACAGAAGTTAATTTTTGTTGGTGTGCTCTTTTTTTTTGGTTGTTGCTGTGTTTACAAGTTAAAGTTATGTGTTGCTGTTATTAAATTAAATTATTAAATTGTTTATCAAAGTTATTGTTGTCGGTGTGTTCTTAAAGTCTTTTAACCTTTTTACATCATCTGTTTCATCACTTCTTGACAATTTAAGTAAACGTAGAACAACTTCTCAGTGACAACATCAATTTATTTTTTGAGATGCAATTATAACAAACTATTAAAAATATTTTAAACTATTTACAGTCAATTTTAACTACTATTTACAGAAGATGTAAAAGAACATATACGGTATATACAATTTCGACTGAGCAGGAGTCCCTGGTGGTGCTGCTGGACTGGATGGTATGCCACACAGATGACCTTGGAGTCTTCTGACTGCGAGTGGGACATCATCTGGGGGGTGGGGGGGAGGCCTCTCTCCACTGTTCACCACATCGTCCATCAGGGTTTGAAGGGCTGACCCAATCGACGGCTGCCATGTTACTAAAAATGTTTAAGAAGACGCAGAAAATGACTTTACTACAACTGTTTTAATAACCCTGAAATGAGAACAGCTAAAATGTGATTCTACTTGCCATCTAAATGTAATCGTGGTCGGGTAGACCCTCCTCCAGGGCAGACACCTCGGCAGACAGCTGGTCCCGCCAGTGAGCACCACTGACTGCCTCCAACACGTTCTCCCCCTCATCCTCTGGCATGTCGTCCTGCTCTTCATCCTCTGGGGCCATGATGTCACCAGCTCCCAAGCAGATGTTGTGCAGGAGAGCACATGCCGTTATGACCTGTAGAAAAAAAAAAGACAAAAACATTTTATAGTATATTTGAAGAAATTAATTTAAAGCTTTTTATCATTTTACCTGCAGAATGATGGAGGAGAACAGTTTCCTGTTCCGACAGCAGTGACCATCAGGACCGCTTGGAGGCTTGATCCTCACATGGCAGCCGTCGATCGCTCCAGCAGCTTTCAGAAAAGCTCTGTGTCCGGCCAGCCCTTCAAACCCCTGGGTTACTGCTGCCAGGTCTTCTGCAGTTTTCGGGAGGTAGATGACTCGGTGGCGGATGGCCACCACCTCCTCAGTAACCCGGTGGACGATGCGGTGAACTGTGGAGCGAGGCATCCCGAACACCCTAGCCACCCCTCTTTTGATGCCCCACTCGCTAGCCAGAAGAGGAAGACCAAGGTCTCTATTGTGGCCCCCCATCCATGTCTTCTTTCCTGGCAGAGAAGGTCCAGCAGCACCACCAGAGACTCTCTGCTCAGCCGAATGTCTGGTCTGGTGTCTTCATTATTAAAAAATATCTGGATAACGGGAACATTCAGATTGATGCGGCAGTACATCGGCCTGGTCTGGAAAGAGAGATGAAGGTTGAGAACAGGATTAGATGACAGCAATTTCATTTTAGCTGATACAATTCTAGTGAATGTTAACCCCTTAACGCCTGGTGTTGCCAATTTGGGACCAAACAATTCTGGCCTTTACTTATTTTACTTCATCTAGATCCACTATTTAACCTATTTTTTCATTTTTATATTTATTTTACCTGTATTATTTTTCTGTTATATAATTGCAAATAAAATCAGGCAGTAAGTGGATAACAATTTAGACAAATAAGGATTTATTTCTCAATAATACAGTTTGCCTTCTCCACACAACATTAGTGATAGTGAAAGTGGTGATTTAAGTCAGTTATTTACAGGGATTGTAAACACTTAACTATTCAATTCAAATTACTAAAGTTACAAACAAGCTTATACCAAGTCTTATAAATATATATTTAAAATTTGATATTTAATGATATTCATTAATCTGCTGACAAGTGTTTGATAAATAACTGGTATATTCTGATCATTAGCAGACCCTAGTGGGGGAAAATAATAAAGGTAAATGTTACCTCTCCACTGCGCTCTGCCAGCCTCAAATATATTTGTCGCCGGTTTTGCTGCCACCGAATCCGACTCTCCTCCTCCAACATCAGGTAAATAAAATAAAATAAAAATTGCAGTTTCCATTTCGCTATGCCTGAATCAATCAATCGTCTGATTAATGGCACGGCTTTTCCCGGGCTTTGTGTAGACGTGATGACGTTGTGACGTAACCAGGAAGTGCTCCAAAGGCTAGACCGTCCCATTTACCAACGGCTGAGGATCCTCCGGAGCAGCCTACCGAGGCTGGGTCCTCCGGAGGCTAGGTAGGCTGCGTCCTCGGAAGTACTCAGCCTGCGAATTGAGACGCACCCAATATGTACATAAACTAAATATACCCTTAAAATCAAATTTCATGCTGTACTGGCCAAAAACGCAGCACAGTGAGAACAGATTTAGCTATGCTGCGTGTCGCTACCCAATCCGTACCGGAAGCACGATCCGTACCATCAGCTCATTTGCGCGTGCGCAAACAGAATAACTTCCGGTGGCAATATTTCCTTTTTCTTACTTTTTTATTCTTTTGTATTTTTTAGAGGCATGGGTTTCTTTTTGTATATTTTTGTATTTTCGTCAATATTGTATTTTCTAAAAATAAAAAAACAGAAATACATAAAAAAGTTCAATCGCCTTGTGATAGTTACTTTGACTGCTCTGAGCATGCGCAAATATACGTCACACAGCGTATATATTTAAATTTGTTTAAATATTTGATTTACTCTGTACTTAACTATGCACTCCAGCAGTACTGATCCTACAATGGATTCATTTGCTACCTTTCGTGACCTGCAGTTTTTAATTGATAAGGGAACATTTCCCGAAAATTTGGATTTTTATTCCAGAAAAATGACGTCAAGCAATACAATGGATTGAATTTAAAAAGCATCTATTTCTTCCAGAAAGTCTTCAATATTGTCTTTACGATGTAGTTTAGTATTCTTCAATTATTTAAGGATATAAATAAATTTTTTTCAGTACCGTAATTACATTATTTTTGGCGACCCGGAAGTTATTCTGTTCGCGCAGGCGCAAATGAGCTGATGGTACGGATCGTGCTACCGGTACGGATCGGGTAATGACACAGCGTATACTCGATAAACAGGAAGGGGGGCGGACCAAGATGGCTGCTTGACCGGACTTCTAATGCCGAGCTCTTAGCACCAAACTTTATATGTAGGCAGTTATAAATTATTTTGGACTAAGAAACCTGTACAAATCGATTAAAGCTAATGCTTAACGTTTCGTAAAACTTTCTTTGAGCAAGAACTTCCAAAATGTCACGGAAACCAGGCCAGAAAAGAACAAGTGAGGGAAAGGATGCTAAAGCTAACTGGGCTCTCACAGATAGCTCCCACCATACTTATATGGGCAGCATGGAATTCAAGCAGAATGATCCGCTCGAAAAAGACTTCCCGCCACTACCTGTGACTCCAAGTAAGCCACCAGTTTCCAAAAAGCCTAATCTCAATGACTCTGACCTCCTAAATGCGGTGGAAAAAGTCAATGATACGGTCAGCAGGCTTGCTAACCTTCTTAACACCAGATGTGATGCTCTTGAGAAAATGATGGAAGGAGTATCCTCAGAAATGAGAGTTATGCACGAGAAGATGTCTGGAATTGAAAAACGTGTGGAGAAAAATGAAGAAGTGGTCATGAAAGTGACAAGTCATGTTCATGACTTGGAGCGTTATGGTCGAAGGTGGAACTTGCGACTTCATGGAGTAGCAGAGACGGTGGGCAAGAACGTCCGGTCTGAGGTTATCAAGATATGTAAGGAGGTGGTGCCAGAGGAGGACAAGCTCGCTGATGCCGTTGACATCGCCCACCAGGTTGGAAAGCGTCGCTTGGATGATCAGAGGCCCCGCAGTATTATTGTTAGGTTAATTTCCAGAAGATTAAGAGATCAAAGATGATGGATTTCTGTTATTTGTAGACTTTTATAAAGCCTTTGATACTGTGGAACATCAATTCATTTTAGACTCCTTGTGTAAATTTGGTTTCGGACATTATTTTTCATCGTCAGTAAGGACCCTGTACAAAAATGGTAATAGATCGGTAAAGTTAACTGGTGGAACCTGTCCCTGATTTGATCTTTTAAGAGGAATTAGACAGGGATGCCCAGTTTCTCCATACCTTTTTCTACTGGTTTCTCAACTTTTAGCAGACCATATTAAATCCAGTGATATTCAAGGCATCCCTCTCTTAGATAGAAAACTTATAATCACTCAACTTGCAGATGATACAACTCTCTTTTTGAAGGATAAAAATCAGGTCTGTGGTGCTTTGGAATCATTAAAAGAGTTTTC